AAATTAAAATTAAAAATATAAAATATAAGTAAGATGTAATTAAATATATTAATTAATAAAATATTTAAATAAATATAGACCACAGGTTCTTTATCATCTTCGTAAATAGCAAGAGAAGGATGATCATTCTGAATTTTTTCAAGCCTTTCAGATTATTTAGGAGTCATAAAAAGTCTATTAAGCACTTTACATATAATATTAAATTTTGTGTGACAAATAATCCTTTGCCTACTACTAGTTGTAATGTATGTGAAAAACAGCCAATCCAATTAATTCCATTTAGTAATTCAACAACACATTTTTTCATATTGCTTGTATTATCGGTAGTAATTGTTATTGTAAGATGACGAATTTTCTATTGTTATAAAATATTTTTGATACATTTTGCTATATTTATAGTAGTATGAGGATAGCAAATATATTGAATAGTAAAAGTGACCTCCTTAAGAATAAAATTTGAATCAACATATGAACATGTGATTCTAATAAAACCTTTTCTATTTCAGCCAATCTATAAATCTGTTGTTAATGATATAGATATTGCTTCATTTGTAATTTGTTCTACCATTTTTGGTTGTATGTAATTGTATGCTTTGTGAATAATTGCTTTTATAGTTTTTGCCTCTGATACTAGAAATGCAGGATCCAATTCATTACAAAAGATACGAAATGTTATGCTATTAACAACCGAAAATAGTTATAAATCATCAATAATCCAATTGGTTAGAAATTGCTGAAGTTTAATTTGTCGTTTTTCTGGATATTTTTTTATTACATTAAGTTTTTGTTGTTTATCCTATATATAATTATTAATAAATTAGATACAAAAATAATAATCAATAAAATATAAATTTTACTAATCTAAATATTGTTACCTCAGACTGTTTTTCATTTTTAGTTATTTTATAAATAAACTATAAATGACCAGTTCTATTACCCGTTGATCCATCATATTTAAGCTTTACATTACATGCTGTTTCATCTTCTTTTAATACTTGACAGATTATAAATGATTCATTGTTATCAGTAAGTTCAATAAAATGGGCTCATATTCAACTAGTTTTTTTTCTCTTATGTTTAATCTTTTTCCTTGACGGTTGAATGAAATCTTCTTGAGATGGTATATCTGAGGAAGGAGTATTCAAAAAGGATGTAATGCTACCTTGGTATTGTGTCATTTTTTTTTGAAATATGAATGATAAGATGATAAACTAATGATTTGATAGTTCTTTTGTATTTGATTAATTGTTATATATAAAAAAAATTAAAAATAATAGAAGCATTACATATGATAGTCGTTAATAAAAAGCAATCATCTTACTGCTACAATTATTATATTATAATATCTATTTATGAGTTGGTAAAACGAATTTCGATAATATACACGTTTAAATTCATTTTCTTCAAGTAATAAATTAAAAATTTTATGCCAAAAAAAAATTGTATCGATCAATTTTAATATTTAGTTACCGATTGGATTATTATAATTGTAACCTAACTGCATTTAGTTAATATATTATAGTACAGAAATAACACAAGATTTAACAGTTTATCTGGATTTATCTGTTTGGTTAAATGCTTTATCCAGATAACTGTCTAATTAAAAAAATTTTGATCCGGATATCTGATCTTAGTGGATATCCATTAAGATAACCAAATATGTCAAAATCAGATACAAACACTAAGCCATTTATGAGTATAACCTATTCTTTGATCACTCTAATGCAAATTTTAAATTTCATTATCTTTTATACTATTACTACTAATAATAATATTGTCAGTATCATTTATTTTTTTATTCTTATCAATTCAGTCTTCAATAGCTTTTTAGTATACTTTTTCTCAGATTTATTTTTCATTTGTAGAAACTTTTCAACGTAAAGAAAGTAATGTCTTTTGCTTAACTCATAGATTTCAATTGCCATTTGATTAAATGAAAATTTCAGATTCAACTCAGCCTTTTTATCAAATAAGTTTTTAAAGTTCTTCCACAATTTTTTGATGTCTAGCAAGTAACTTCATTCGCTGACTTATTTACTTAATTTATTATTATGCTATTTTATAGGCTCAATTAAATTGATTATTTTATCAATTTTTTGATTTACAATACGCAGCTGATCTTTGTAACTTTTATAATAAAGAGAATATTCAATTTTAATCAATAATCCAAGAATAAATTCGCTTGTAAAAGTAAACATTTTAAAATAATAAAATCTGTTAGATAGATTTTTGTAAAAGCAGTTCGCGAAGCTTTTTCATAAAATAGCTTAATTTCGATCATTTTTTATAACAAACTTTTTTTGAGTCACAATATTTGAACAAAATGTTATTAATGTGTAATCAACATGCATGAATTTCTGCGTATCAATTATTATTGGTTACATTCTGCATACAGGGGGAAATAATAGTTACATTAGCCCTGTTTAATTCTAATCCATTTTGATCTGATCTGATTGTCAAAAAATCTAATAGCCAATAAAAATCATTTGAAGATCAGATCAA